TCCTCATGATTAAAATGAAGTCACAACATTATGTAGCTCATACATTTTGTGGTAAGAATTTAGTGAGATGCCTTTCTATGCCCAGAGAATTTCCTCAAGAGAAAGTAAAGCCTACACTCTAGAAGTAAAACAGACTACTTTCTCCTCATATTTCCACATCAAGCTTGGGTTAAAGAAAGAATGGTTAACTCAATGTTACAATGTACTTTGGGTGCTTGTTGGAAAGTTTGAAAGTCTAGTGTGTGATCAGGTCACCTTGGGAAATGAAGAAAGGACTTCAAAGGTCCACTGGCTACTGAATTGCAAGTACTGTGATAAAACAGAACACATGACAGCCTTGTGATTGCTGACCATGAGAAGGTGCTCATTCCCAAGGCAACATAGCCTCACTTGGCAAGTTGATATTGTTGGTCTAATAATATTTAGATCTTGTACAAGCATGATTTAAAATAAATAAATGAATTATAAATAAACTACCACTTTGAATGCTCTTGGGGAGAAAGAGCAAGGAGACCCGGGGCATGTGAGAAGGGCAGGAAGTATGGTGGGCGCTATATGGGAACTGCCCCACTTGTCAGGGATGGAGGACTTTCAATACATCCTGCTGACTCCGAGAAACCAGAATTTCACCCTTTGGCTTTTCCTAGAACAGTCACCTTTTGTTGATGCCAAATGGGCTTTCAATATCACATCCATCCGCAGCAGAATTCATTCTAAGGGAGAATGCCTGGACCATGGGGTATCTTGGCTCTAAGCTTAAGTGTATGGTGGGGTAAAGAGATGGATGATTGATGCCACTAAGATATTTCTTTGTCTGCAGCAGCAAAGAAAGGTATCTTGGCTCTAAGCTTAAGTGTGGGGTGGGGTAAAGAGGTGGATGATTGATGACACTAAGATATTTCTTTGTCTGCAGCAGCAAAGAAATAGCCCCTTTTCTAAGACCTGATCGTAAGTGTTCCATTCCATCTATCCATGTGTATGGGATAGGGAGAATTTGGGGAAATGTCAGTCACTTGTGAGCTCTTAATCACCATGCTTTTGGTAGCCAGGGGCAAGAGCAGCTGCCTTAGGTTTGTGTGTGCTGCATGTGCTATTTCTAAGGCTAAGCTGGTGATGCCTCAGCCACCTCAGTCACAGTCAGAAGTCTAAGTAAGTCTCCCAGATTATCTGTCATACTGATGCTTCTACATCCCTACTCTGACCCATCTCCTACTCTTATGGCCCTCTCTAACTCATCCTCTGTCTTCTTTGTAACTTTAGGCTTTCTCATTTACAAGCCTGTCTATATCCACAGCCTCTTAACTTCTCTTTCTTGCTCTACAGGAAAACATGGCTCCCCAGAGGAAACAGCTTCCCTAAGCCGCTAAAAAGAAGGCTATTTTTACTTGAACTCCACATTCTTACCACCTAGTTTTCTTTTACTACTTCCAACACATCTTTCTTACAATGTCTTTTAAAAGCCATAGTTTCTTCTAAGTATATGTCATCAATTTATAATATCCCCCATCCCTATCTATTCCTGTCACACATAAGAAGCTTAGTCATGCCACCTAATTTTTGATGGCCTCACCCAATAAATTGCCTCACTTTCCATCATATCTTGACATTCACCATTGTCTGTAATTTCAACAACTACATTAATAATTCACATGAGACTGATTTAAAAAAAATGGAACCAATTGTCTATATTTCTTTGTATCCATGCCCTTTCCAACTCTGCTTATCAGGAAGTAAAGTCTATTTCTATATCCTTTTAATTTGGTCCTACAGAATCTTAGTAGATTCTATGGCCCAGATGATGATAAGTTAGAACAAGCTAAATAGATTAGTGCGGGACTTCTCCAACTTCCATTGTTAATGGAAAGTATACATTTCTGAGAAGAGCAAGGATCAAACTTATTTGATCATGGAACCCTATTTTTATGTACTTCTATGTCAATATTTTCTGATTAATAGACTTCAATCTCATTTGCTGATCAAGTTTGAGCAGCACCCATGATAGCAACAATTGCAGAATTGCATAATATTCTCAATTCTACTTGATCTCCTAACATAATATTTAGCAGCTCCATTCATTATGTAGCACTTAATATCTGCACCTGCTTTATGGTTCTCTATAGCTTCTTTGTTGGCAGTAATGAAAAAATTCTTACTTTTGCTTTTCAATTTGGATTTCCTCCTCTTGAGCTCTGCATAAGTCCTCTTTAAGGCTGATGATTTGGCCGCAGGATAAAAGTGGAGAAATATAAGTTCCATCAATGTGCAGATCATCAAAGCATAGCTTTCTGAAGGCATAGGAATCATCACAACAGTGACCCACACCGGCATTGATAGGCTGTGTCTCATGTCTTCTGCATAAAGCTCCAAGAATTAGCTTAGCCTTTCCCAGAAGAGAAGTAAAATAAGAGCGATTAGGTTTGCGGTTGTTATTTTCTTACCCACAGAAAACAAGGTTATATTTAAGTATGCTCACATTCTAGTGCCTTGATTTCACTGTTTGGGGGAAAGGAAGAGTCAGGGGCAGCCTAGTTCTGAGACTTGGCTTCCCTCATCCTATCATCCTCAAGTTGAGTTCACCCTATGAATCTCTATATCTGGCTGCTCATCTCTGTCTTTTATTACATCCTTTAATCAACTGATAAACATAAGGGACAGAATTATTAGGCTCTAGGGATAGGTCATAGATGTATCCTAACATGAGATTACTTACTGAGGGTTAGAGATTAGAACTTCAAGAACAGGTAAACATGAAGCCACAGATGTGCTTACCGCATCCTCCATGCAGACAAACTGCTGTTCATCACTCAGAGGGCAACATTTGGTGGCGGCAGCTGCCATGTTCTTTGTGAACATAACCAACTCTTGAGCAGATAGTTGTGGGGCTTTCTTAGTATAATGGACCAAGAGCCTGAAAGAATAAGTTCCTCTTACAATGACTGTGTGCCTAAAATGACAAATTCTACAGAATTTTCCTCAATATCTGATATTGTCTCTGATTGAGGTTGAACATGGCATTAAACTGTGTTTAATTCTACCCTTTTAGTCCTTGTTCCAATAGCCCAGTGGCTTATTCAATATACCTGGCATTCTCTTCCAGCCTCACACACTGTAATCTTAACTGTGTTGCCTAGAGAAGGGTTTTTCAAAGAAGCACTGCCACTTTGGGAGTTTTCTCTCTTGCTTTCATGTGACCTTATTTATGTGGAAGATTAGTACTATGTCCCTACTTACACCGGTATCCAGTAAAATCCTATTTTTCTGTTTCTGTTTACTGGGAAGATTTAGCTGTATAGATTTTTTTCTCTCAATAGGTAACATTTGGAAAGATATCAATCTCTTTCATGTACAATGTGGAGACATGTGAATATCCATAACAGTTTTCAACTTGTTTCTGTTAAAACTGTATCTTTAGGAATATAATTTGAATAACTTGGTCTTGTCAGACTCTGAAGACTTCAGTAATTATTGTCTTCGGGAAAAATAACCTACAAAAATTTTGCTCCACACTTTTTCTGCTTATCAAGGATAACTATGATAGCTAATTTGGATTGCTGCAAAATCAGACATGAACAGGTTCCAAAATAAGCATATGCATGGACCATTCAAGCTGTTATTAGTTGTCTACAATGTGAAAGAATAGGTACTACAGCAATGATCAGGAAACAATCACTCAAGATCACACTCTAGTTGGGAGAGATACAAATACACTTGGCGGAGTGAGAGGAATAGAATGTTGTAGGTGCGCATAGAATGTAAGTGCACAGGGAAATTGGACAGGCCTGGAGGAAATGACATGTGGGCTGAGGTCTGACAATAACTAAAAATGAGCTGGGTTGAGGGGAATGAAAGTGGAAGGAGAACCTTTTGGAAGTCATTGAATATGATTTTTCCCCCTTGATTGGGGGGTAGCTGTAGAAAGGAGAGGAAAGATAGGTTAGTAACAGAATTAGATTTACAATGTTTTTAACATAATCATGGTTGTTGTATAAAGAATGGATTGGAGGTGGGCACAAGGCAATGTGAGTGAAGAAAAAATCTGAAGGCCATTCCAGTCATTTAGGTGAGAGATAGTGGTAGCCTGAACTAGGAGAGTGGTGGTGGGAATTGAGAGATATAAAGAGAGATTTTAAAGAGAAAGACTCTACAGACTTGGATTTGAGAACAAAAAGATCAGAGACAATTCTTGCATTTATATTATAATGGAGTTGGGGGACGGATTTAACTATAACATCCAATGAAACAGTCAACCTAATCTAGTGGTTCTCAAATTGTGGCTCCTGGACCAGCTGTATGAGCATTCCTAGGAACTTTGTGGAAACCCAAACTTCCAGGTCCCATCCCAGACTTAGGAATCAGAAACTCTTGGGGTGGGACTGTATTTAACAAGTCCTCTAGGCAATTCTAAAGTTTGAAAACCAGAGATCTAATCCTTAAAAGTAGACATTAGCAGTTGAACACAGCCTAAAAGAAAAGTAATAAGCCACATATTCTCTCTGAAACAAGAGCAATTTTTTCTGGATCCATTATTCTGGACATTTAATTTAAGATCAATAATACTATGGGACACTATGTCGAACTGAACTTTGCCTCAATAATCCTTTTCTAAGTAGACTATTGCAGTTGATTCTAAAGACTCCTAAAAATTGGCTTTTGCTTTTTGATGTATTAATCTTTAAAATACAATGGGATTTACCAGTCTCTCTGCACATAAGAAGTTGCGTGTGTTCCCTCTGGCAATTAACTAAGGTATCCATTCATCTGTACTCTCAGTGGTGACAATACTAAATTTGCCATATGGACTTGATTTAAAATGGACACAGGGACCCTACATTAGATCTCTGTTGTAGCTTTGACTCAAAATTGCAGGCAAAGCCCTACGCTAAATGTCCAGATGTGTGGGAGGGAGCAGAAAAGGCAGCCAGGGCCTGAAGGCCATTCCAGTCATTTAGATTGCAGAAAGGCAGCCAGGGCCGGCTTGGCTCCTTAACCTCTGGACATTGACTGAAATCTGGAATCTGGCCTGGAAAACAGAGGAAACGTTCTATGGACATCTATCTTATCAAGACAAAGATAGCTAGGTTAATTCTGAACTGATGTCCCTTAGCTCTGAGATTTTAAGGTTGGCTATAGACTCTTGAAACTCTCAGCATCAGGAGTGAGCAAAAGCTCACTAAACAAGTATAAATCTGGACAATATCTTACAAGCATACCTGTCGTGGAAGTTACTATCTCCTAATTTCTCACGTAAATCACAATGATTTTTAACGTGCTCATGGCTTTCATGAACCACTCGTTGGAACATCTCTTTCTGAAAAATAAAGATAATTGGAGTTTTTCTATCATTGTAATAATATATCTCAAGTAAGATTGCAAAACCATTTTCTATAAGAATTTAATATAGCTGTTTTCCTAAACCCAGGGCTTTATTTACTTACTGAGTTAACAAATCATGAAAAACACGTTTTGCTAAAACAGGAATGGCCATGTACTTTGTGGGGGGAAAAGTGGGACAGTGAAATTAATATTCAGTTTTCCATGATAAAAATTCATTGTGATTAAATAGTATATTTTATAAGTATATGGCAAATCATTCATCAAGCCAAAAAGAGATTATTAATGATAGTTTATAGATCTAAGTTTAATTGGTCAGTGTGTGTGTGTGTATGTGTGTGTGTGTTTACTGGTTATTTTTAATAATACTGTCTTTTACATAAACAGCAAATATAGAGAAAAAGATATAGAGATAAAGAAATATGGACATGTATTAAGAAGTGGTGGTGTAATAAAAACATGCAGCCTTGAATATAGTAAAATACTGCAGAAATCCACATTAAATCAATCAAAGGGAATTCTCAGCGATTACTGTAAATTCAGAGTTTTTGACCACACAAATTAATTCCGGTGGGAAGATACACATGATCTTGCAGGCTGAATACTTTGGTAGGAGCACCAAACCAAGTCCCCCTGATCCTGGTAGGTAGTGTTTGTTGTAGGGAGATGTTGTCAGACATGTAAACTGTTTGCCTGGATTTAAGGCTCAGCCCTGTCCTTACTGCCTGTATGGCATTGGGCTAGTCATTTGAACCTTCTGAAATTCAATGCTCTCATCTATAAAAAGTTGTTAGCAATTCTGGCATTACCTGATACCAAGCCTTTATGAGGACCAAATAGAACACTGGGTATAAATTTGCTGTGTTAACTCTAAACATCCATGTTTCCTTAGGTGTTATTACCATTATGATTATTGTGGAGGTCTGCTGGTGATGCCACCAGAGGGTGCTAACCTATGGGAGACTAAATCACTTTCATTTATCCTCTCTGTGAACAGGAGGACGCTAAGTGGACCTGCTCATGCCCAGACAGGTCAAGAGATTCCCTTCACCCTCCACTCTCACCCCCACCCCACACTCTATAAATACATGTATGTAAGCCATTGGTTAGAACAAAGGCCTGTTTCCTGTTTCCTGATAACTGCCCCCAAAAAACAATTGAACAATCAGATTTGTAATCACCTGTATTTTCACCTGTATTTTTCATGTCAAACGCATACCAGGAGCTGCTGCCTATGAACAATATGATTTCTGGACAGAAATAGGAACAGTTTCCAGGCCTGCTTGGTAGAAATAGTCGACCTTTCCAACAGGCTGTGCTGTCATGCTACCTGCTACGGTGCCAGACATTTACTTTAAAGAGGAGATTGCGTAGCGAAGCTTCCAGGACATACCGAATCTATAAGACAGTGACTTGCACAGAGAGTCACTGTGGTATGATAATGTGGCCTTTGGTTTAGATGACAGTGATAGCCCATGTGTAGTGAAATTAGCCAGAACATGTATAATCATGTTACGAAAGTATGGCACTACTAACAGAACTGTATTTTTTCCTGTGCTTGTAATCACTTGTGAGTAACAGGTTGAACAATAAAAAGGCATTTACCCCATGGCTATAGCATTCCAGAGGATTTTCTAATTTACAGCATTTTTCCAATAACTTTTGATACACTGAATCCACTCTTAAAATAACTGGAACTGCCAACTCTGGATGTCTTCTTGAATATTCATAAAGAAACCTGTATCCATATGAAACATATTTGAAAGTAAACAGTGAAATTCAAAGGCTATGAGTTTTCTCTCTAACGCTATTTATAATTCTGAAATTTATTCAATATTTAACTAACTTTAACACATTTAGAAACCTTAGGAGGCAGGCAGGTAATTTTATTGACTACATTTGGAGGTAAGGAAATCAAATCAATAAAATATATTAGGTTTTTTAAGTCACACAGTAGCCAAGCTGGGATGGCTCAGTAGTTGACTGTCAACCCATGAACCAAGAGGTCACTGGTTCAGTTCCCAGTCAGGGCACATGCCCGTGTTGCAGGCTCAATTTCCAGTAGGGGGTGTGCAGGAGACAGCCAATAGGTGTTTCTTTCTCATCAATGTTTCTATCTCTATATCCATCTCCCTTCCTCTCTCTCTAAAATCAATAAAGACAATAATAAATAAATACTTTTTCAAATAAAGTCACACACTAATGAGTGGCAGATCCAAAACTTAAACCTAAAATACTTTAATTAGCTGATAGTTCATGGTTCAGAATCTCTAGTTACTTTCATTAAAAATTAATTTTAAGTACTTGGGTGAGAACACATTTTTCTCAATGATTGTTGAGGCTAGATTTTATAAGTATTACAATTCTTTTGAGAGAAGTGCTGGCTAGCTAGGTATTAAATCACCATCTTTCCTTCTTTTCCATATAAACTTTCAAGCATGAGTAGTTCATGCATAATCTACCCATTCTTCTGGGTTACAAGGAAGGAAATTTGGAGTCTAGAATATATTCAAAGGAATCATAGAATTGCAGGAGGTATCTTAGAAGTAATCTTATCCAACCACCACAGTTTACTGTCAGAACACAAGAGCCTGGAGAAATTTCATGGCTTGACCTACATGCCAAATGGCAAAGCTGGACTGGAAATCAAGTCTCCCAACTCATAGTCTAATGTGAAAACCACTAACAAGCTAGGCCTATCAACTTCTTCAGTATCAGATGCAAGTTTAGGAAATAAGTAGGTTCAGGAAGAGACACTTACTTTTAGCCAATATCCAATATAAATTTCAAAATATAGCTAGGGACTTCCTACAAATCCAAATAATATTTCACAAAGTGATCTTGGAAATATTTTAACCATACAATAATATTGAAGTCAGTTTGTCTTATGCACAAATTAATATGTGCTTCTGAATGGATACCAGAGATATTAATATTCCATCCATATCTCTTATCTTTAAATGCCACACTATGGTTTTGGGCGTAAGTATTAATTAAAATAGAAGAGCTGCCCTAGTCGGTTTGTCTCAGCGGATAGAGCATTGGCCAGAGGACTAAAGGGTCCCCGATTCAAATCCAATCAAAGGCACATGCTCATGTTATGGGCTCGATCCCCAGTAGGAGGTAGCCAATCCATGATTCTCTCTCATCATTGATGTTTCTATCTCTCTCCCTCTCCCTTCCTCTCTGAAATCAATAAGAAATATATTTAAAAAATAATAATTAAAATAAAATAGAAGAGCTGACCAGATATATCATTCTGAAGCTCTTAGTTAGAGGACTCTAAGTCCGTTAGAGCAAACATTTGACCTCCACTGCATTTTTTAAAAAGTTCCTGTATTAGTTGTCAACATTTAAAAATTAAGAAACTCCAAGAATCTCTCAAAATGCAGTAGACCTAACCACCGAAAGCCTGCATGCCAATATGGTAACATGTGGCTGGAGTTATGTAGTAGCTGCCAACTTTGGACTCCACAAAGCATCTCCTGCTGGTCACAGTTCCCATTTAGTTGCTCATTCACATCATTGGTTAATTGCTGTCATCATTTTAGTTTACAACTTTATATACTATTTTAAATAATCTATAAATATAATGTTCTATCATTAATATTTTATAAAAAATTTGTATTACTCTTGTACAAAATCATCCTGCTTGTCAGTGAATTGTTTGCATACAAATCGATCTTCTGTAAACCTGCTGAATGGCAGGGATGAGAGATGAGGTTTATTGTCATTTTCAGAGTTGATAATGCATTCCCCTCTGAAGGGCACTGGCAGTGCACAGCATGGAGTGATCTTGCTGGATAGGAGAGCCTGTTTAGAGCAGGTATAGTTCATAAGCTGGCTCTAAAATAGAAAAGGGAGCAGTTGTTTTTGATGACTTCATTCTAACTTATTAATTAATTAATTAATTAATTTATTGTTATTAATAGAACACAAGAGAAAAAACAACTCATCTTATATTGCTTTATCCTTGGCAAACTGAAAGACCAAAAAAGTCATTTGTAGTGACTCATTCTAATTAGAAAAGCTTCTCTATTTGACCTTACTCCAGTGTCACAATCTCTTTTAAATAGACCATAGTATTGTTTCCATGTTTAGGTCAACAAAATACAAATGAAGAGTTTTATTGTCTTGCTATTGTTACTATTGTTGTAAGATCTCAATTTAGGAGACATTTTTCTCTGTCATTTACTATATATCCTATATAATAAAAAGCTAATATGCAAATCGACCAAATGGCAGAAAGACCGGTCACTATGATGCACCCTGGCCACCAGGGGGCAGACGCTCAATGCAGGAGCTGCCACCGAGTGATCAGTGTGCTCCCATAGCTGGGCTCATGGCTGGTGAGTGCAGCGGTGGTGGCAGGAGCCTCTCCCACCTCCACGGCAGCACTAAGGATGTCCAACTGACGACTTAGGCCCACTCCTCACAAGGGCATTCCCCAAGGGCTCCCAGACTGTGAGAGGGCACAGGCTAGGCTGAGGGAAGGCCCCCTCCTCCGAGTGCATGAATTTCATGCACTGGGCCTCTACAATTACAATAATATTATTATTACGTATACTTACATACATTTACCTATCCATACATATATACACACAAATAATGGTGTGTGTGCATGAACAAGCTAGTCTCTACACTTAAGCAACTCACAATCTAGTTGGAGGGTCAAACAATTAAACAATAATAATGCATTATAACAGAAGTTGTAAAAAAAGGTATATATATGATACTTTGGAAGAAAAAAGCAATTTGTAGTGTGAAGATCTTGAATAATTTGAATCTTAAAGGACATATAGAAGTTAGTTGGAAACAAAAGAAGAGGAAAAGCATTCTAGAATTGTTCATCTTTATAAAGAATCTTAGAGGTAAGGGAAAACTGTCACACTGGTTTCTATCTTCATCCCTGCTCTTTTCACTGACAAGTTCTTTCAAACCTTCTCAGAAAGGTAAGTCTCAATACTATTTAATTTATGTCAAAAAATTCAAAAGGAAAAAAAATCTAATTCATTATTTAGAGGATAGCATAACTCAATAGCAAAATCTGATAAATGATAATTACTTTTGCAGATTCATTACATACCACTATCACCTTTATTTAAGCAATACAAGGTTTTTAAATTAACTAATTGGGGTGACATTGGTTAATAACATTATACAAATTTCAAGTGCACAATTCTATGATACATCATTGCATTGTATGCTCATCACCCAAAGTCTACCACAATATAGTTGACCCCCTTTAACCTCTTCATCCTCCTCCCAATCTTCTTCCTCTATGTTAAGAATTATAAGTATTTTAAAGGCCAGAGTGAGTTTTGAGAAAACAGAGGATCCTACCCTGCCAAATACACATGCTACTGTATTTCCTTCACAACAGGTCTGATGAAGATTTTTAATATCAGCAGCCAGTTTGGCAATTTCAGAAAAGTTAGCTTTAGGTTGTTTTTTAGTCAACAGAACCAATTCCCTGAAAAAAAAAGGTACATTTTAAACAACATTGTGAATTTGATTATTTCTAAAGTTAGTTCTAATTCATTGAGTAACCAAAAGGATAGAAACACATTGTAAATGTAGGGTGAAGAGAATATTTTAAATGCTTTCTGTTTCTTCAGTGATGGGACCCAGAGCCATATAATATCTAAGTCACAAAACAAATATGATTCAACTGATAATCATGGATAATATAGTCATTTGAATCATTTAAATTATTGCTTAAAGAGTTGAGCTGCTTAGAGAAGTGATTTGGATATTTATCTGACCTGATTTTCCAAGTGAAAGTCTTCATCACAAAGATAATAATTACAGGAGACTTGGGTCTCCCTTACCTCTCTCTGTTGACAACTGAGCAATATCCCTGACATTTCTCGGGAAATAGAGAAAATGGGACTGCCTTGGAAGGAGAACTGAGCTTCTAGGCAGCCCAATGTTGTCCTAAATTGGAGAAGAAGGTACTATAAGGCAGATGCATGTCTTTAGGGGTCAACTTGGACAGAAACACAATCTAGGCCAGAAAAGAGGCATATTGGATAACATCAAATTCTTCTCCCGCCTCATCCTCCTCCATTCCCACCCCAAGAAACACCACTGATTTCCTCTGTTCTGTGTAACATTGAAGCCAATGTTTTCCTATCTTCCCAGAAAAAAGAATAGCTTTTGTCCTCCAGCCTTTACCATGCAGAATAATTAAGTACCTGCTTCTGTATATATGGAATCAGTTGTGCACTGAGGAAGAGACTAAGGATGAGCAGATGGAAGAAAATTGAGGTAGGAGATAATGGGCAGAAATTACAATTGTGCAATTTCATGTCCAGCCCTGTGTGCCCTATTGCACAGGCAAGGCAAGTAGCGTATGTGTAGAGAAAAGAACCAGGTCTGTACTGAGAGACATTATTAAATGAAAAATAAATGATTTTTAAAATTAGTTTAATCAAGAGGGTGATCCAGCAACAACAAAGTCCACAAATCTGAAAAGGTAACTTACACTGCTTTGGCTACTTTGTGGTTGAATTTAGTCCCAATTTCACATAAATAGTGATGCCTCAAAGATATTTCTCTAATGTATTTTCTGATGGGTTGTAGCTGTAATTAGAAAAACAAATCATCAAGGAAATATGGTAGTTACATTCATCATTAGTAAAGAAAAGAGAAAAGTAAAAATTGTGTATCTCTTCAAAATTAGAAAAATTTTAGTGTCATATTTAAAAGAGGCCAAATGCAACTGCATAATTTTGGGGGCTTTTGCTGTTGTTGTTTTATAAAACAGCAACTCTTTTCAGCAGAGATCACTTGTTCCAGTGATCAAACATTTGGAATATAAATGAGAACAAGAAACTGAGCAAAGGAAAGTCACTAGAGTACATTTGATATGTGTTACAGTTGTATTTTGGTTTTATTCAAGTAACTAACTCTGTCATTTTGGACATGTCTCCAAGTGTTATCTATAATATATGTTTTAGTTTTACAATATATATTAATGAAGTCCCCCCAAATATGTTCATTCTTTAACTCAGAATTTTTACTTTTGAAACTATTGCAAATATACTTTTCTAAATAGATAAAAACAAAATTGCTCAAAAATGTATTTTATGATAGCAAAAATTTGGAGACAAAATTTTTCAACAGCAGAGAGGGGGTTAACTTAATAGCGCATTATTTTTTAAAAAATGTATATTGCTAATAGAAAGTTAAGATGTTTAAATCTCTATCAAAATTCTATATTTCGTGTGATTGCACAATGTACAAAATAAAATCTGTAAAGAAAAAAATACCAAAATTGATATCTCAGTGGTGGGAATGTAAGTAATAGTTTAAAATTTCAGAAGAGGTCTATATTTTCACTAAAATCATTATATTGACCACATAATACTTTCACTTTGGGTAACTGCACCTTACAGTACTATTTTTAAGAACAAATTAGAAAATATATACAAAGGAAATATACAAACCACAAAACTGACACAATAATTATAATTATATTTTTATAATTAATTATAAATATAATTTTATCTTTAATACTACACATCTGAAATTAAGTACAAACACACACACACACACACACACACAAGTGGCGGTCAACCTCCCATGGTCCCTCCCCCTGGCTGGCTGGCCCTGATCGGCCCCAATAGAGACTGGGCAAGAAGGCCACGGTTGGCCCCTGATCACCAGACAGGCCGAGGGACTCCACCTGTGCACGAATTCGTGGACCGGGCCTCTAGTTTATTTATAAGAGAGTTCCTGAATACTTAGTCCATAAGGTTGTGTCTGATCACAGATACAACTTTTGCACAATTGGTTATGTAGTTTTTTCTGAGTTTGGGAGCCAGAACTACTAGGAACAGACATCTTGAAAGTAGCAACTCTAAATATCACAAAACGAGGTAGAGGAGAAAAGAACTCTTAACCAACTTAAAAAAATTTGCTTATACCTAACATTATAGAGGCATGTTATACATGAAGGAAAAATTTTCATTGCAAAGGTTAAGGTTAAGAAAACTTTGTAACTTAAAATAATAAGCACCAAGTTACCTTGAGAATGCATTTTCATGAAAATTCTCAATCTTCAGAAATACCAGGTAATGAAACATAAGTTTGCATGATCATTTACTTTTTGGTTTTTATTAATATTAAACCAAAAGCAATAAAAAAAAGACTGTCCTGCTAAGAATACAGAATTGGCTTCTGAAAGAATTGGTGTTCACTAAGAGAAATAATGAAGAGGAAGGCAATATATATATATATATAT